GTAACCTTAGTCATTTAATTTACATAGCTCCTATTTTATGCAAATATTAGTCTCCAACATCGAAAATTTCAGAAAGGGAAAGCATATAGGAAACATACGAAAATACACTTGTTCAGAAAGTTTTCGTATACTCGATGAAAAAATTGTTGATGTTTCAAACTCTTATTAACTTTGTTGAAAAGCATCTTACAATAAATTTTGAGGAATCGTTATAGAAGAGAGACTTCAATACTTAAGATCATGGCGGATTTAGTTATGGACAAAATTCTTTGAATCTCCGTAAAGATATTTGAATTTGCAAAATAACTTTTCTTTCAAAATAACGAAAGAAATCTTTACAAGGAACTTGATATTACGAAAAATAGATAGAAGCTTCACGTTTTAAAACAAATATAATTCTGTTGCTTGTTTTTTTCTTTATGAAGTTATAGTTTTTAAATTTTTCACCGGAAAATCGGAATCTTTTCAATTTCAACTAATTGTCTGCAGTTATAATAAAAGACAGATATGATAAAATAATTAGAAGCATTAAAACTTAGTTAAAATAATTTTCATAATATCATTTACACGTGCTTTAGGTAAAATCGCTTCAGATAAAATGCAGCTACAAATATCTCTATGCTAAATAGCCTTCCAAGAATCAGTAATTATAGACTCTTGCTCCATAGTACGATTCGTTCAACCAAGCAGAACAATAGAGGAATTGAGTAGTTCCGCGGAGTCTGTATTTGAGACCTAGAAACCAGCATGAGAGGAAATATTTTGTTACTTTCCTAATGAAAGCTGTTTAAATAAAGTGATAACTTTCAAACGTACGTATGTCACATCGCAGCTACGAACAGTATTACCGTCACTTTTTCAAATTTTTCCTATCGTTGAAACAAAGAGACCGAAAATACAATTGATTCGGCGGCCGCAACAGTTCTGTTCGAAACAGAAAGCCGTTCGAAATGAATTTTATCGATTAAAACGGATTCCATGACTAACCTGGAAAATTACCGCCCAAACTGCCTGCCTGATAACTATTCGGCAGAAATTTCACCACGGTTATTGTAACAATCTATGCATTGTTCTAGCGAAATTCACGACGCTGATGCAATAGAAACGCAAATATTCACGATTGATAATACGACGTTCATTTTACATGACCGAGTGCTAACGATCCCGATATCGATTAACGATCGACGCGTCCTTTTCTTACATTATTAACAACGTTTCGCGTATTCTCCGTCGAAAGAGGAAAATTCGAAATCGCCAGTCGAGTCGAAGTAACGAATGATTTTAACGAAATTACGCGATATTTCGGACAATATCTGCGAATTTCTTTCGGTATATAACGTTTGCTCGTCATTCTTTTAATATCGGAACCCCGACGATCAATATCGACACGACGAGAAGGTACTTGGTCTTCATCAACAGAAATAACGATACGAAGAAACTTGAAATTCGCGAATTTTCGACGCGAAATAAATCGAGGTTCGATCAGTTTGAAATCAGTAATGAACACTTTCAACTATCGAGAACTAGCCCGTTAAATTTACCAGCATCGTGGATGCTCCTCGAGTGCTTGTAATTTCCCTGGATAAATTCAGAGGGAAATCGAGCGCGATTGCGCGTACCGTTCAAAGCGGGATCGCCGCGATTGCGAGCTGCCGACCACAAATTCTTGCTTTGTCCGATCCAGTGGCGAACAACGTTGAGCTACTACTTATTAACCGATCATCATTTCCGATCTCTTTCGTTATCCCGTGTAAACACCATCGGCCAGGGATTATGGCTGCCTCGCGAAAGCGGTTAAACAAATGCTGCCCCGAAACACGCGCGAAATTTTATCGAGCGAACGAGCAAACGCTCGCCGGGAAGGCGCGTTTCCCAGAAACTGGTTCAGAGAATGGAAGGCGAAACGCGAAGCAACGGGAAGTTGGCGCGCGACGAAGAGAGAGAGAAAGAGAGAGAAACGAGCGGGTGAAACGGAGCACGTGGAGAGAGCGGACTTGCAAACGAGGGACAAGGAGAGGGCGCGCTGTTAGTAAAATAATAGGAACTTTATCTGGAAGTCTGCGAGTTCGCTCGGAAACAATTATATAGTAGGGAGGCAAGGCTACCAGAAGTAAGGTTACCGGGAAAGCAAGCGGAAGTGAAATAGAAGGGAAGTGGCGGGCCAGAGGGTGGTACGAACGGAGGGAGAAACGCGGCCAGAGAGAAAGAGAGGGAGAGGGGAAAGAAGGGAAAGAAGGACGTGGAAAGAAAGGGGATAGATATTTATATTCATTAGAAAGTAAGAAGTCGGTCTGAGGTGCAGTTGCAGCTTGAAAATGCTTAATGGTGGTTCACACCCGCGGCGTTTCGCCATCTACGTCGTTGACCGTCTGTCCTCGTTTTTGATCAGTTTCTGGTGTTTCTATAATTTTCCATCATGGCGTTTACTTGTTGGACCTTTTCTAACGAACGATTCTTCGTAAATGATTTTTCTTTGCCGCTATTCCGCATTGTGTTTGATACGTCCGACGTATAACATTACGAAAGAGACTTGCGGAAAAGTTTATTTGTTCATTGTTATTGTTATGGTACAAATTTTCATTAGATATGTTCATTAGTTAGTGTAAAAAAGTGGAAACATTCTTCTACGATTCTCTGGCATTTTCATCCCAAATCATTCTAATATAAAATTGCAACCATGTGTATGTATATTTGTTGAAATAAATAATTTCACTTTATAACATTTAAGTTAAATTATATTATTACATATAACTAGATTAGACACTAGGTGCATTAAAAGCATATATCCTTCCAACATTTCAACGTATTTAAAGATACCAAGATGTCTCTGCAAAATTAATCTTCAGCCACCTTCAATTATTGTTTTTTTTTTATTTATACTAATTAAGATTATTTTCTACTTACGTTATAATTGAATTTAAAACATCCATTCGAATTGTGTATTTCACATACATTTGCAATAATTTCGAATCGTCCAAATACGCGACAGTGTGTATGTCAATCGTAGATCGGATCGATGTTTCACTTTGAAATTGTAATCGGGAACGAAAGTATCGGGGTTCTTTCGTTCATGAATCATCCCCCATATCCTTCGATTCCCCGAAACGACCGGGCAAGAAGTTCCCAAGTCCCTTGATCCGTGGTAGAAGTTCCGAGACATCGATTAGCGAGATTGAAAACTTCCGTTTCGTCGTCGTACATTGCGATTTTCCCACGAACGAGAACCGAAGGTGAAAGAGAAACGGCGGCGAGGGGGGAAGGGTGGGGGCAAGAAGCGGACGACGGCCGACGAAAACGCGAGGCTAATGGTTTTCCCGTAGCCGTCAACGGGACATCGATTAACATTCCTTGTTTTTCCCTCTGCTCTCTTCGCTTTTTTCCCCAACTCCCCACCAATCAGATTTCTCTTTACATACATTTCGTATGTCGCTGCCGGGCGACAACAAAATTCCAACCAACAAAGGATTTTGCTCGCTCGAATTAGCGAATTGCGTTCATGCGGCAAACGTTTTATTTCCGCTTAGGCTACATCCGTTTGCCACGTTCACACGCTTAAGATATACTCGTTAAATTGACACTCTTCGTGAAAGTCCGACAATGTTTCGTTTTTACTTAGATTATTATTCATCCACTGCGCTGAATTGTATTTAGATTGTTGCAGATGAAATTTTGAAATTTGTAGCATATATACTATTTGTAGTATAACTGTACTATTTTTGTTTATTGTAAATCTATCTATTTTCGTGTATGTACTATGTATAGCCATCTTCGTCTATTTCAGTGATTTACTTTTGTTCAGTGAACCGATTTTTTTTTTTTTTTTTTTAAGGTGGAAGGTATTAAACAAAAAATGTTGCTTTACTCAACGTAACTGCATTATTCACGACGATTTCACGCACACGTTGTTTCAATAAATACGCGAAGCACTTTTCATGCTTTGAAACATTTCGCGATCCATCAAAATCAACTCGCGAATCACTTTGGGAACTTCTGATCTATTCATATTCACTTCATCCATTATAAGACAATTGAAAACGTTCCAAAAAAATAGAAGAGTTTTAATTGAGTTTTTTCGAACACACTGCTAATATTGCTAAATTAATTACTTGGAATGTTCAGACGAAATCTAACAGTTAACAGTTAGTTAGAGGTGATTCATCAAAAATAGAATCTGTACATTTCTTTCCCCCAAAACTTCTTAAATTTTATAACTTTTAGTCGATCATTATTGATAATTTTATCGATACATTGTTCATGTTTATATTATCCAATCTAAATTTTTTTTTTCACACAAATGGCAAAATACTTGTTTTATTAATGTAATTTCTCGGGAAGTTATCACTTTTATTTCGTTAGGCCAAAGTTTCAAGTTTTATAAAAAATTTGATCTCGATGTTCATTCATGTTTTTTTTTTTTTTTTAATACATAATCTGTCTTTTCAGAATAAAGCAACAATTTCAAATCTACAACGAAACATCGATAGCATTGAATTTGACAAGTTTCAAGCTTCAAAACGTACGAAATGAATTTTTTTTAAGAGCGTGCTTCGGCCATGAAATTCCGAATGATTTTACACGCTCGTGAAATCCGTCATTTCATATTTAACAATCTAATACCACGCGAAAGTTCCTTCGACAAAATCACTATGGAGAAACACTCGCTCGATATTCAAATTAGAAGCTAATCAGGCAACAAGCAATGACTCATAGTTAAGACGCCATTTCGTTGCGCACCGTCTGAGCAACAATAAGTGACAATTTGCCCCCGGGGGTTCCGATAACTTTCTTATTATGCAAATCCGTATCAGCCAAGTAGTCGCAGATACTTGCGGACTTGCAGTGATATCGCGAATCAAGGAAAAGAGGATAACGCGTAATCCTGAACTCAAGAATGCTAATTTCCAAATGTAATTGTAAATATAATGAATCTCTAAATGGGAATATCGTCGGTAGAAACTTCGGGGAGGTGTTTCTCCTGCTTTCGGACGGATTAACTTCTCGGTGAAATTCACAGCTTCTGTTGTTTTTTTTTTCTTTTTTTTTTTCTCGCTTGGAAATTGAATCTTCCGTCTGAGA